ATATATATTTTGATTATTTTGAAATACGTTTTTTATTAGAATATGTAAATTTTATTATTATTTTTTAAATATATAAATAAAGTAAGAACAATTATATTATAATATATTGAGTGTTCTTTTTATATATTATAGTGTATTTAAAATTATTAATTAGATTAAAAAATAAATTAAGAAAAATTATATTGCAGATTAACCAATTTAATTAATTTTTTTATAATATATTAATTTAGTTAATGTTGAAAATTTTATTTAATTTGAAAGAAGAAAATTAATTTAATTTTTTTAAAAATTCATTAAATGTTTAATAACCAATTAAATTATGAAATTCAAACCAATTAAATTTAATTAGTTTAAATTAAATTTTCATCCAAATCTAACCTAATTCGACTCACTAATATTTCTAACAAAATCTATAGATTACATATTTAATAGGTCTTTTTCTTTTCAAAAATTTAAACTAAAGGAGAAATTAAGTGAAATTTGCAAGACTTGCCCATTTCATAAGCTTAATCAACCTGCAAACTTGTTTATTAAAAGAGAATAATTATTTTCACTAATTTTATGTGCCAACTTTTAAAATATGAGGAACTTTAGTTTTATACTAATAAATAAGTATAAATAATAAATATTGAATTTAATATATTTTAATTTAAAAGATATTGTATTTATTTTTACCTTAATGTGTTAGATTAAATATTCAAGTTTGATATTTTAATATTTTAATATTTTTAATTTAAATATGCAAATCCTTATATATTAAGACTTTCATAATTTATTTTAATTTTATGATATTTGATGTTTATATTTTTATATAATATTTTTTTATATATATTGCTTACTTATATTTTCATAGTATAACAAGAAAGAAGAGGAAAATATTTTTTCTTCTTCAATATTGATATTAAGTCTATGAACTTGTTTATTTAACCGCAAGTTTCGTAAAATAAATATGAATTAGAAAAAAGAAACTATTTATTTAATAGAATGAGCTTATCTAATCTATTAAAAATATAGATTTCAAATATTAGACTAATTCATCTGCTCACTCTAAATATATTCATATAACTATTGACTAACCCCAAGCGTGTGGTTCAGCGGTAGGGGTTGATCCACGCTTAAACAAGGTCAGGGGTTCGAATCCTGCCTTGTGTATGCAGCTGCGTTAAATCTTGGGGCCAGCTATGCCTCCAACGTAGCGAGGAGACTAGTCACGAACCAAAAATATAACTATTGACTTATCTCTTGTTAAGACTTGTCGTGTCACCTCGCTAGTCAATTACAACCCACCACGCCATGGTTGAGGTACAACCCCCACTACTCCCACACACCTAATGATACGTTATGACAGATTTGTGCATGGGGTATTCTAATATATTTTCATCATTATATGATATTATCTATTTTTAAATAAACATTTATATTTTTAGAATTTACAAGTGAAATTAAAAATGTTTTGTCAATCTTTGAAAATAAAAATTAATTACAAAAGATGTATACGTTTAGAAAAATAATTATAAATTTTAAAATGTAGATATTTATTTAAAAATTCTGAAATAAATCAGTAATTTACTAATCAAATTAACCTTTCTTTTTGTGATTTCCCTACGAGGACATTTTTTTAGTGTCACCACATTCAAATAGTAATATCAAAGGCACAGATACGTAAAGTCAAAATCAATCCAATATGGTGGATGAGATAATACATTAAGAATGTCTACACAATTTAGTTAATAATTCAGAAATAATTCAATAATTTACAAATAAATAAAGCAGAAAATAATAATTTAGGCCAAGCAATTGCAGTTAAGTTCAAGCTTACACTGATTGGATCCAATTATGAAGCTTTCTGTATGGAGTTTGTTGCAGTCTGTATGAAGTCAAAAAAATAATTCAATTCAATGGGATTGGCTTTTATTCCTTCTTATTCTGCACAGCCAGCACCCAGTTGATTAATCCAATATTTCTAAATAACAAAAAGAAAAACCCAAAAATTCAATAGCAGTTCCTCAACAAAGCCAAGCTGAAATTTACCAGACATCATTTAAAATGTCCCCCGAAAAAACAGTATACTTCAACCACTGATAGTACCGGAAGGAAATTTAATTTCAAACAAAACCCAAAACCTTTAATCTCTCAAAAAGCAGATTAAACACATTGTTCCAGCAATTTCATTCAGATAAAAACATTTTTACAACGTTATAACAAACTGGAGGCTCATACAATAGGCACAAGAGCATAGCAGCTTTGCTGAATAGAATCATGGACACTGTGACACTAACAAGGAGAAAGCATGTGGTCCCATCCCATGAAATGAAATGTGATGATATTAGCTACTGAGCAAGTAAGAGGACACTATCAGCTTTGGAAACTATGCCAAGAACATGTCACACAACAACAATAAAACAAAATTCATAAATCATATCAGCCACAACTCATAAATCATAAATAAAATAACTAACCCTTCTTACATGGAAGACAATAAGAGAGATGGTCCAGCTGTGCCATAATTAATCACCAATGACCAAAGCAAACCAGCTTTTATAGGATGTCCTATATGAGATGCGAGGACCATATAAATGTCACCCATCTGCAGAATTTATGAATTAACAATTTTAAAAATAACAGCTTTGAATATTTACCCTTACCAGAATAACCAACGTTAGTAGAAGCCCACCGATCCCACGTTTAGTGCACACAAGTTCAATCCATCGTGCCTAACAACGGAATATGAAAACAAAACGAAACATTTAAGTCTAACCGTACATACAGTTTATCTGGAAATTAACAAAGTTCAAGATCGTAATTCATGATGGTATGGAGCATAATATAGCGAAAATAAAAAATGAAATCCCATCATGTTAGGTCTGGTACAGGAAAATTTATTTTTCGTTAATGAATCGCAATTGAGAAATGAATAAATAAATGAATTATACATATGTAAGTGTTGTGTATATAGGACATGGTCTGAATGAATTGAATAATAACTGCAGAAGATATTAAGCCTTTTGCGTGCTTTAAATGCAAATCATCACAATTCAGACATGATTGTGTTCGTACTTTGGTCCCAAGTGAAACGACATTGTAATAGGCAGAAACGACATGAGTGAAGAAGATAAACGACGAGACACGTTACAAAACGCCGCCTCAAACGATACGATTCCAGCGAAGGATAGTTCAGTTCGCGGCAGCGATAGACGACGGCGATCGGAGAATTGAATTTCGAGAGGCGAAAATTGAGAAATTACAATAGCAATCGCTCAAAGCGCGTGTTTAATGTTTACGACGAATTGACTTGTCAGATATATAACTATTAAATATTAATCGCATGTTAATAATATTTTTTTGTAATATCATAATTGAACATTGAAGTAATTAGCATTGTCTTATTTTGTTTTTTCCCCGTGTCTAGTTGCCAAACGTGACCTTCAAATAAAACTAGGGACATAACTTACACCATTATTGTCCTATTAGAATTTTCATCTGGATAACATGTATAATACAGAATTTCGTTAAATAGCAATTTTATCATACAGGTACAATTTTCAATTATAATTGTACAACAGCACAAACAATACATATTTAAGTTTTCACCTAAAATTAGTTGCTTGCTTATGAAGATGAAATTTGACTTGAAATTATGAGCATTGTTGTTGGTGTGTGACGAAAAGGAATGGTTAATAGCAGAACACAGCAACTTAGCTTAGCTCACCTTGTTTGTTAGTTTGGGAAAATTGGGCTTTCTGGCTGATGCATCTGACGTTGTTCCTTTCGTGGTCACATTTTTCTAACATTCACACACACAACATATAAAGTTCTTTCACATCAAGTAATAGAAAGAATATACTACTACTACTAATTTTTATTGAGTAACATTAAACAATGATGGAGGTGCGCCCAGCACACAGGTTCAGTGCAGTGGCGACATTTCCTTATTTTGAGGGCCTAATGAAATTGGAAATCGTATTTTTTTTTCTTATTCAATCCCATGCTATTGCTAACCAATGACTAATAAATGTGGTTTTATAAGAATGATGGGAATAAATGAGTGCTAAATTTTGATGAAATGAATCTATACATCTGGGTGGTCTTGTGGTGGATCGAGAACGCGGTTGTGACAAGTGGGATTGCAAGGGTAAGGGCAATCTATCTGATGGAAAGGTCTTCTTTCATAAAACCAGTCTGCTACGGCCTTTGCAATTGTCTGCAGAATGTTATGCAGACAAAGTAAGCTATTCTGATGGATAGGATATGATATCAAGGAAAGACAATACCAAACCAAAACTACACAAGTCATGATATGTAAATAGGTTTAAACATCGTTTTTAGTCCATACAAAATATACTAGTTTTATTTGTTTGCTTTTAATGTCATTTTTAATTATGATAATGTCTAAACCTTCTATTCTATTTTGTTCTTCTCATTAATCTCCATTACAAAATTGTTTATGGCTTCATCAGACATTGACACATGATGTAAGTGCTTGTAACCTATCATTATCATGTGACAATGCTTGATAAAGTTATGTAAGCAATTTTGTAACTGTGACTGATGGGAGAGACAGATTAGGTCTAGGCGTCACATGATCATAAAGAAATTAAAGAAACTAAAAGTAAAACAATGATATATATGTAATGATGAAAAAGATATTGACAATTGCATTTTTTGCAATCCATGTTTCCTGATTTTACAAATTTTGTTTCTCAACTTTCAAATTTACACACTTTGTCATCAAACTTTTTAAATTGTGCACAATTTGTATAAGACAGTTAACTTATAAAATGACAAAATGTGCAAAATTTTAGAAGTTGGATAACATAATGTGTAAATTTTAAAGTTGAGTGGAAAAATTCACAAATTTGTGAACCATGGATGACAAAAAAAATACATTAAGCCAAAGATATTTAAATGTAATTTATATATTCTTTAGGAAAAAAAAAGGGGGGGGGGGAGGGGTGAATTTAAAAAAAATAATGCAGCTTCTTACTGTCTTGGCCAGCACTGGAGAGTCACTTCTCAACCATGTCTCCTGCATTTCAGTTTGGCAATGGGTGTAACAAGAGTCTATGAACATTCCTTTAGATGAAGAGTTGCCTAGCACAGTCAAAGCCCTTAAGAATTCTGTCCTAAAGCCTGAAAATCAACCCATGGATAAAAGTGAGGTCATAGAACTGATGTGATAAACTTGAAGTCAGGAATTTCATAGTCGTAGGTCCCTTAAAAGCTTTACCAAACTTCAGAAGGATATGACAATATATGATATTATGATCCTAGTAAGCTGTTTTTCTCATGCCAATATTTTTAAGGGCTATAAACAACCGTTGACAGAGGCATGACAAACTATAGACATCATCCTGAGGGTGATTACAAACTCAGTAAAATTCTAAGTTTGGATTTCGGCATAATTCCAAGAGACACATAATTAATGCAACAATATTCACCTTGCATTAGATCGAGTTGATCAGGTGAGCAGTTGTTTATATCAAGCTTGCAGCTGTGCCAATGGCCTTGAGGATCAGCAACACCCGGTGCCAAAATGTTCTTAATCTGAATCAAGCAACATCCTGAGGATCAGAGGAAGTACTAGAAAGATCTCACCAGTTATTAAGAGCTAGTAGCAAAACTTCAAATGATAAGTTGATCATGGAGAAGAGTTATCAAGAACCTATTAGAGCTACTTTTTTTTTGGGGGGGGGGGGGAAAAAAGTTCAAGCGAATCAGGAAATCTTAAGAAGAGTACGTAGAATGATACTATCCCAGATGATTTTGCATTTGAAACAATAAGTTTTTACCCTTTTTATTCCAGGTCAATATCAGAGGTGTAGCGTGACCAATTCAATAATAAATTCTACAAATAAACTGATATCTTGAGCAATAGAATTATCTGACCTGCCATGAGTCGTATGCCGCATTTACAAAGAAGATTGGCGTAGTGATATGAGACACCAAATATTGTGGGAAAAAGCACTACAAGATTGTTCAGATTCAAAAACCAGAAGTATTAGTAACACTAAAGAAGGGATTGCAAAGGTAGAAAGGTAAACTAATTCAAAAACTTACCAGCCTTGGGCTAAGTCTTGAAGTGCAAGATTGAGGCAAATTCCTTGCAGAGCCCTAATAAAAGAAAGAAAAGAAAAATCAGACTTGAATATTTTAGATCTTCCGTGAACAAAAGTTTCACAACGTATCTTTGAAATGAAAAAAGGGAAAACATTAGAGGTAGTTTTTTTCTTTTGGTGTAGAACACAACATATGCTAAAGTTGAAATTGATCTGATAGAAAGGATAGGACAAGTACATGTAGGGCAACAATTTGACTGAAGTATTGTTCGATGTGTTGTTCTCCCAAGACATCCTTTCTGTTAACAGTAACATATTGAATCGTGAAATGATCAAAGTAACTCTAATATTTATAAAAAGGCCAAGTAAAATGCATAATAAATGAACTTACGCGTTGATAAAGTAACCAGCATCTGAGAGGCATTTCACTCTAGCCCCTGTAGGTAATAAAGCTCGGAATCGATCACAATGTAGTACTGAAGTTAATCCTCCAGCTGAACATCCAGAGATAATAGCCTGTGGTTACAAGTTCTGGTGAGTGAATGAAAAAACAATAAAAAGAGTGGCACATCATCAATGTCTCTTACATTTTGAGCATTTTTCATTCCTTTTGCTAGTAAATCCTCCATGACAGCAGCGAAAATCCTTGCTCCTCTGAAGTGCAACTTCGTTACCTGATTTACACATCAAAATATTAAAGTTTAATCAGAAAGACTAATGAGTAATAACAAATATTTTAAATTTAGATTTCGAAATTCCTATGAACTTTGCTAAACTTACTGGATTCACTGCTTCCACATCACCGGTAAATGATGAACCATCACAGTACCTAACCTTGATTCTGTTCCAGTTGTAGAAATCTGTAATTTACAACACTCATAAGAAAGTTAAACAAAATGTTGGATTCATTATGAGAGAAACAAAGATTGTTAACTAGTGGGAAAGACCTGGATTAAACAGTCTCCTGTTACTCAAAATTCCTGAAAAGCCAATTTGCCTGGCCATTTGCTTAGATGAACCTAAACGATAGGTCTTGCGAGAAAGGCAAGTAGTGACATTGTTGCACCATCCTCCTCCCTAGTAGAAATGAATTAGATTAAAATTATAAAATAAAAAAAATCAATAAAGATAAACGTTCTATGATTTGTCCAAAAGGGTGAGGTAAGACAATGAACCAAATTAATTTGATATTTAAGACTAATTAGTAATTATTGATGGAAATTTGTAGAGAGGGACACACCTCAAATGCAACTAACCAACTGTTAATCCCTGTTCCAAATCCCTTATCAAAATGGTAAGCAGGTGGACTCCCATCCAAACAAACTGCATAATATTTTAAATTTCAATTTCACCATTATTGTAAGCATCATTGAAAATAATAAGCAGAAGATTAAGATATGAAAAGACACAGCAAAATTTCCTAACCAGCTCCTTTTGCTACAGCGTTCCTTACAAAAGTGATTGGCACATACGAAGCTTCAGCTATCAACAACAACAATGCACACACCAGAAGGTTCAACCACTGGCTTATTCTTGCACTCTCCATTCTGCACAAATCCAACAAATAGAAAACGATAAAAACACGCATAGAGAACGAGGAAAACAGAGTACTTTATATGTAGAAATATCACAATAGGATCTTTCCATCGATAAATATAAAAAAAAAAATCATAATAAAAAACCCCTTCCGCTGGTGAATGAATGAATTATTCATATCACATCATCTTTCACTTCGACCTGACCAAATAAAAAAATCTATTTTTATTGTTGTTATTTCAAATTCATCGAACCAAAAAGTTTGATCTCCTATAGAAGAAATAACTTAAATTTGTGAATTATATGTGAACATTGGTTTCCACAGTGGAAAATCCCAATGCCCCCATTTCTATTGGTTTCCACGCTGAAAAATCCATAAACTTGCATTTTCACCAAAGGTTTTTAAATTGCAGTCGCGCGTTACGAAATTTTGATCCTTGCTATTGCAGGAAATACGAACAAATGCAGCCGCAATTATTGTCACATTGACCAAAAACTTTAACCTTGAGGCCAAAATTGCTGTCATGAACCGTTTACTAAAACCTCGATTTCCATGTATCAATATCAGTTATAACCAGAAATCATAATACAACACAAGGAAAACCAAAACGTCAATCTGCACTGCACATATCTCCTATAAGAGGTACAAAATGAATCACAATCACTGATCCCATTCCAATCCAATAACTCATCCAAAATTCTAAGGCCAAAGGCAGAATAGAATCTTCATTCCAACCCCACAAGCAGACATATGATCAAAACTAATAAGGAATAATAAATAATAATAAAAAAGACATTTTTTGCATAATGGATTACTAGGAATATTAGTTTGTGTACCTGAGATGGAGAATGGATTGGGAAAACGAGATGGTGTAACAATGAAGGAGGTTCGTTAATGAATGCCAATTGTGGGTGATGATGGCTTATATTATAAAATGAAGAAACAGAATGTAACTAACGATGGTTAACAAGTCTTTTTCTGTGACAGAAAATGGTTGTATGGAAGGCAAATTGGCTCTTAATTTTTGGTTTTATGTGAACGAATGATGGGGTCAGTTCTGTGAAAGTGAGAGTGCAATGGTTTTTCAGTTCCGTCAGAGAACTCCAGAGCCGACACTCCAACTCAAGGCTAAAAAACTACACCCAAAAAATGTGTTGTAATTTATAGTCCACTTACTTATTTATAAGAAACAAATTACTACAAATAAACACACAATTGGGAGTGACAATCCGACAGAACAAACTCAGATTCAGAATGTCCCAAAAATTTGTATCAAAACTAAAGATAAAAATTAAACGGTGTGAAGATTAAAAAAAAATGTTAAAATATTAATTTTGCAAATAACAAGATTGATGCTGTCTGGGGCTCCAGGGTCCGACCCGAATGTGTGTTGATAAAAAAAAACATCGAATCTTATCGATGTTTAGCGTTTCCACATTAATGAGTGGTTCAAATGTGAAACCTTGGCTTTGGCGCCGACTAAATAAAGGTTGCATTGCAACCCCCCACTTTGGAGCCACGCTCTCCTGTGCCCGCTCTTTTTCTTACGCCCCTGCGCTCGCCTCTCCTTCCACTTATTCCTTTCTTTATTATCAACAAAACGCCGAAAAGGTCACTGTTTGTAATTTGCGTCGTTCTTCGTCAAATTATAACAATTGTTTTTAATGTAATGGGTTCTTATGATTTTGGACTATTGCCCATTTCATATTTTCATGTTTGGTTTGTGCTTTCTTCGGAAACAAATTTTCATAAAGGTGAGACAATTGCTTAATTCACATTTATCCCATGATTCTCTTTCATACGTGGTCTCTGCCACACCTTCCTTAATTCCGTGTCCGTGAAAAACATCATTCGAGTTTTTGGACCTGATTTGATGCAAGTGTGCATGCCTCTGTTTGATCGTGATAATGTTCTAAGATTGTGTATGCGTAATAAAGGGAAAACATGCATTCATATGTTTCATGGACTCACAAAGTATACGATTGCTCAGGGAGAGACATCTCGGCATGCATTCGACTTTTGATCTTCATAGGAACTGAATAAATAAAACTTGCATCTGCATGATACAGGGGCATTGTGATGTTTATTTTATTTTATTTTATTTTATAATGTGTAAAGTGATATTGTTTTATTAAAAAGGAGTATGATCTGATTTTATTTATAATTTTATATACTTAAAGTAAAATGAAAATAAAAATTCTAAATATTTATAATATGTTCAGCTTCCAAAAAATAGAAGACAAATCATAAAATAATTAAAATAAATTAAATCCAAATTTTTTAAATAAAAATTAATTTTAAAAAAATTCAAGATATTTTGACAACTTTGTTTTTGTTTGGGTAATATTATTATTATTATTATGAAGTTGGAAGTATTGACTAATTTTCAGGAAAAAAAATATGAAGTGAATATTTTTCTTTTAACATAATTTATTATATACTTAAGATTAAGATTAAGATTACTATCACTTGTGTTAATCAATATTGATAAATATTTAGACAGTTTGTAACACTCCTATTTAACTTGATATATTTATTATCCAATTTGACTTTTAGCTTCAAAATTTGTCTTTCTTCATTTTGATGTGTATTTTTTTATTTTTTAATTTGTTTAGATATTATCACATTCTTTCTCAAGTGGGACTAACTTAACATTTGACTTTGACTTCTCCTTTGAAGATAAATTTTTATCATTTTCATCTCCTATTGAACATCAACTTTATTTAAAATACATGCATTTGTATGTTTCTTCAGTTGATTCTAATGTTTCATCTTTATCTTCTTCATCCATAATTGACTCATCCTTCATCAAATTTAAAGAAAAATTCCTTTCCTTTTTATCTAAACTTTGATCACTTCTATGTTGTTTGTATTTTTAGTCAGATATTAATTTTTTTTTTACTTTCAAATAACATTTTATACCTTTTCTCCAACAACTAAATAACACTTAAAAGATTTTGATTAATTTAATGAATGTATAAAACATCGGATGTTAATTTTAAACTTGAATAACTTTGAATAGCAATTGTTCATTTATCTTTATTTAAATGTGTTCTTTTCCTCAATTCTAACTTTAAAAAATACCAGTTTTATTAAGTGAAGAATTCTTGGTCATAAATCATATGATTTGTATATTTGCTATCAAAAAGCCTTTGTAAAATTATTGATTTGTAAAGTATGAGATTGAAAGTAATTGTTTTTTTCCTCTTTGTTGTTAATGAGACTTGCATATTTTCTTTGAGTTACAATTGATTGTACTTGTAACATCTTGCGTCAGACCTCCACTAACATCTCTATTTTGAATTATTAGTCTTTTATAACAAGGACATGATGAAAAAGATTGCATTATTATTTTGATCGTCCTCTTGAAACAATTCTTTCTTCTTACTTTTGTCATCATTGTTCTCCTATTCGATAAAGTATACACCATTCACAATTCTTTCTAGTCTCAAGCATTCTTTGTTCTAATGTATGCAACATATTTGATAAAGTAATCTTACATAGATCTTTTGCTTTTTTAAAAGTCCCTATAGAGGTTTTCCATATTTTAGGTACCATTACTATAATTTTTTCTACAATTTTGGAATAAGAAACTATGTGCCTATTAGTTGTTCTTTATTAGTAATGTTAAACAATTTATCTAAATATTATTTTATTGTTTCAGACTACTTCATTATTTGTAATTTAAACTCTCTCATTAAATTCAACAATTTTATAAATTCAACAATTTTATGCTTCAAATCATTTCATCTCTTACATAATTTTTCTTTAGGTCATCCCACTTTTATAGCTTTGAGAGACATGATTTTAATAAAGATAGTTTGTGAAACATTAGCAAACATACAATAACTCATTGTCTTTGCTTCCTTGATTTTTTTTCCTTTATGAATTTTTATTTCGGTCATGTTATTTGTATTAAAAACCATGCTAGTGTGTATTCGTCAACCTGAAAATTTTAATATTGGTCATTAGGAACATAATAAAAATATCATTTTTAGTTATTTTATAAATATAAAGGATTAAATTATATTTTTAAAAGATAAAAGACTAAATTAAATCTAAAAAATAAAATTAAAAACTAAAAGTATAATTTAATAATAACTTAAATATGTTTTTAGCCTATTAAATCTAGGATAAATTTTTTTTAATCCCTCAAATTTTAAACAACTTTTTTTAGTCTCTATAATTTTCAAAAATTTTATTTTAATTCTTCAAGGTCACTAATAAGAGCATCTGCAATGGGAGTTGCTTATAAGCAACTCCCATTGCAGATGCTCTAACACATCTCAAATTGACAAATTGAGATGATTATAAAATATCAACTGAATTTAATGTTATATTTTCACTAATACAAATACTAATAAATAGATTTTATATGACAATATTTTGATAAATTCTTTTAAAAAATTGAGTATAAAAGATTAAATAACATTTTTAAAATTATAAAGACTAAAAATATTAATTTTAAATTTGAGAAATTAAAAATAAATTTATCTTAAATTTAAATTTGAGAAATAAAAAATATATTAAGTCTTTAATAATATATATAGTTAAATATTGTTAATGGGAAGAAAACAAAGTTGATGAAGAGTAAGGTGGAGGTGGGTACAGCGTAGTTTTATCCACAGAAGGAATGTGAAGGGCATGATTGGATTAGAAAGTTGATGTGGCAGGAGTTCGCAATTTGTTAAAGTTTCCACCACAACTGGCACGCGATTGACGGTGATTTCTTAAACACCAACGCTACCTATCTTTTCTTATTCTAAAAGCTGTCATCCAATGCCTTTTCCTTCCTTTCCTTTCAAACTTTGTGCGCCAAACCCTAACCCAATACTCCCTTCTTACTTCTTATACCTTCCCTCCCTTCAAACCAAAACTATGTCCCAATCAAATTAACAACCGCAAACCATAACTTTTCCAATTAACTCAATAAATACATTACTTGTTAATCAATTCAACATACTATATACTACATTAATTTATGTCCTGTTATTCATCCATCACCCCCAACAATGAGGTATTTGACTATAAAATTGGCCACATCCAAGTGCAGTTATGAATTTATGATGAAATCATCACCTTGCCTTGTCTTTTTGGCCAGTGATGTCAACAAGAGATGATGTCTCAAGGAGTTGGTCGAGTGGAAAATGACAGTCTCATATTCATATATGAATTTTGCAAGACAGATTATATTTATGATATAATTTGAAAGTTAAAATTGAATAAAACATCAAAGTCTCATTTAATTATATATTGACATTTATATTAATAATTTATTCTCTCTTAATAATGTAAAAATGATGTTATATTATATATGTCACTTAAATAAATACATAAAAAAATTTAGTGTTGACTTAAAAAATAATAAAAAAAGTTTGTGTCATTTAAAAAGATCTCAAGAGAGATTTTTGCAAATTTTTTTCCCATAATTTTATAGTCTAATACATGATAGATTAATTGGTCTTCAGAATCTTGGATGCAATAATCAATGTTAATGATTTGTCTAAATAGAAGAGATAAGGATAAGCAAATTATATGAGGCAACCCATATGCAAGAACATAGTGGCAGCTGAAAAATTAAGTGCATCGCATGGGGCATGTGATGGCGAAATGTAATTAATATGGAACAACCGGAAGTTGAGACTTGAGAGAAGGCGAAAAGGAAAAGTTGAAAAGGACATTGTTTTGTTTGGATAGCATAACATCTGAAGCATTTCATAATTAGGAACCAATCAGAATCCGTGATAGGAAAAATAATAAGGAAGGTGAACCTAACTGTGTTTGAACAAGGTTAATGTCGTTACTTAATTTATTCACACATTATTCAGTTGGTTTAACTAACTACTAGCAAGGAAGCTAGCCAACAACTGCACCTGTCAAGTTATTACCTAATAGCTTGCATTGAATCATCTTAAGTCTTAACAGTAAGAAAGTAAGAAACTGTTTGTTAACATTAAAGAGGAAACGTGCTTCTCAGAATTTCTGTGGTTGCTGCCCATCATGCATTAATAATATTCTGGATATAAATTAATAGCGTCCACCGTGGTTGCCATAGATATAAAAAACAAAAATAGAAGGATTAATTAGAAGATTTAAAATTATTCTCAAAACTCAAACAATACATTCCATGGAAGAGCTTAAAATAGTAGCCGTCATTAATGTGATCTTATCCTAATGGATAACAATGCAACGTAAAGTAGCTAGTAATCGGACACTGCAACATGGAATATCGATAGTGGATGACATTTTCATGCAATTTGATTGGAAACACAACATGTTCTTGATCTAAACCCTCAATTGAAGAAAAATAATGCTAGATCAACGTCCACAAATCAACGTTGCAAATAGAAATTTGAGTCCTCGATTGAACGCACTGTTTTATTTGGCACAAAAATGTTTCATGATAGCGATGATTAGGTCCACTGAATTTGTTGCCATTTTACAAAAGCATAACATTGTCCACTCTCTTGAACCAAAATTGAAGACTAGTTTGATACGCAAGTGGAAACTTATCTACAAGAATTGACAAATAGTTTCAGCTTATCCACGTTCATTTGCCTCAATGACTAGAAACTATGGCGTCATTGGTCCCGCAATAGCTATTGCTTACGAGGGTGCACTGTCATGAATCAAATTATCAAAATAGTTTGGTTGATATTTATTTTCATTTATCACAGTTGGAATGCAAACAAAGTCACACATTATTCAAATAAGAGGATGAATATAAGTTTATACATACACAGTTGTCTTCATTAGTAGAGAGACTTTTTATGTGATGTCCAAAAGCAAAATCGTAAGAACTTGACCCAAAGCAGACAATGTGTATATGTATAGTGTCCCCTGCACAACAATCACCATCTTTAGGTATTGATTTATCCTACATCACTTGCTAAATGTGAACCTAACATCCTTCGTTAAAGTAAACAAAACTGGTCCTCGTTTTGGACTTTCGGCCGCGTCTAGTTTGGGCCAGTCCAGTGAAAACAAATTCAAATTGGGCCGTGGCCCATCTTGAACTAGTTTGGGCCAACAGAGAGAATCGATACGCTACAGAAACCGAGTTCAAAAAACAAAAAAACCGCCGCCGCATCGTTTTGATGGCACTGCAAGTGCAAATCCACGAACGAAACGATAGACATGCTAAAATCAGTGGCTGCGCGTGCAGTGTTATGCTCAAGCTCTCCCGCTAGGTATCGTGCTTACGCATTCAAATTCCATTAACATGTATTTCAACTGTTTCAATCCCTTTTTGACAGTGTGTGGTGAATGAATGAATGAATGAAGCGTTGCAAGAAAAATGAGTTCCACACCAGCATTTCCTAAGTTCGTTTCCGTGGAAGGCGCCGATATTCATTCCAGAAGTAAACCTGACGGTAAAAACAAAAAACCCTAACCTTGCGTTTCTCTTTGCATTTGAACTTCACGACATTCAATTCAGATTCAGTTACGCTCTCTTGCTTGTGAATTTTTGTTCAGGCTTCAGATTCAGTCTTGTCTCGTATAACATATTGGCTCAGGTATGATAATTGTAACCGTTTCGAATATTGTACGACGAATATACGATTACTGTTTGTTTATTTACTTTAATTTGTAATGTAGGCTTATGTGAAGAGCGCGTTGTTCCCACACTCTCCTTCCTCGTCTCTCAAGTAATAAATGTGCTTTGTATCTTAAAGTATCAGCAAAGGAGAATCAGAATAGTATAATTAATTGCACTAATTTGATTTTTGCCATGATTAATTTACTTACTGCAGATGGAAACTTCGTTCGAACACAATTTTGGCAGTTCTCAAGAACTTGGGAGCTGATATTTTCTGCTTACAGGTTTTTATTTTTATTTTTATTTTTTTCCATTTCTTCTTGCCAAATTGTTGTCTGCACTAATATCTTAGATTGTGCAATACTCAAGATACATGTTTATTTTTGTATAATTAAAATTTATAATAAATTAATATTTTGAAATATGCAAATTATATTTTGATTATGATTCATAATAATTTGAATATATAAATTATATTTTGGATTTACATTAAAATATTTACATTGTGATATAATTTTAACCATTGATGATTTCTTTTGATAAACCTATTGAAATTTAACTTAGAGATAAAAGGAAGTATGATTGAAAGGGATGGGTGATTAACAAGATTTATACATATTGGAAGTTTGACGTGACTGATATTTTTTGGTCAGTTGCTAGTTAGGATGTGAAATGTACATACAAAGGGGAGAATATTGAGAATGTCTAATTGAGAGAGTGAGACGAGTGAGTCTCAATCTCCAATTTGTTTATTCTAATTTCTTTATAATATAGGAGTATATTTCATTTCAGCTTCTTGATTATCAAATGATATGTTTCTTCTTATTTATCTTATCATGAATCATTCCAGGAAGTTGATGAATTTGAAAGCTTTTACAAAGGAAACATGCTGGACCTAGGATATTCTTCTATTTATATGAAGAGAAGTGGTCAAAAGCGTGATGGGTGTGGTTTATTTTACAAGCATGACCGGTATGTTCAACTTTTGTGCAAAACTCGCTCAACTTTTAGCTTTGAACGGAGGGGAGCGGTTTATAATTAGATTTTTCCTAGAGTTACAGGACTTGCAACTAGTGAGTGGCTAGGATTTTGCACCTGGATACAAGTTTTTTTTAATAGAGTTGGGGAGAACTTGAACATCTTTGCTAATCCAAGGTCCAAAGTCAGTGTTTTGTAATTTTTACTGTATATAGCTGGGAAGGATTCCAACTTTAAACTTGCAAACCCTTGGACACTCTTAATATTGATCTGATGCAAATGTAGTTAATGATATGCTTATAATGCAAAAACCCCAACGTAAAACCAACAATGTTAGTACTCTGCTAGTTATTTGTTAATTAATATTTATATGAGTATGGTTCTTTTTATCTCTTATCACTCTTTTCACTCT